TGCTCATTGTCTTTCTCTTTTGCAAGTTTTGAAATTAGTTTCTTGATCTCTATTTACAAATTAATAAAAACACAAAAATTATTGATTTATTGAAGAGAGGTTCAAACCAAAGCCTATTTTGCCTCCTACAACTGTTATTATTACTTACATAGCTGTTTTCTAGCTAAAACCTTAAACCCAGTACTATAATAATGTGAACTGGATATGACATGTGCATTGTTGTAAGGGTATAATCTTCAATGATTAAATCAAATTCAGATGTTATAACTGCTTATGACAACAACTGTTATACATGTAAAAGCAACGGAGAAGTTATAAGATTATTAAATAAAAATTCTAACTAATGTCATCGAGGTTTGACCCATAGGCTTTCTGTAAGTTTTCTCAAGATTTCTAAGTAAGACATGTTGCTGCTCAAAACACAATGGGGAGCTGTTGGAGTCAGAGTAGATGACTAAGTTTTAATCTCACTTTTCTTTAAATGCCAGAGGTCAAAGTATTGTGTGATGTGTTTGAGGACTGTCTTGACGTAGGCTGCAATCTGGGTGTGACGGTCTGAGATAAAGGTGGTTATTACAATGCCACATCCAGCAAGGAAGTTCATGCACAGCTGAAAACCCATGAACTCCATTGCAGGGCTGTTGCCAGCTTGATTCCTCTGAAAAAGGAAAATATCAACATAATTTCGTTTAGTTACCTTAAGCACTTTGCAATAATTGCATGTGTTCACAATACTTTGAAATTTACTGTGGATCTAAGAATGTAAACCTAGCAAAAATTTTTTGCTTTGCTCAAAAAGAGAATATTATTGTAGCCATCCATGTTGTGCATACCTGTACAAGTGCAAAATGGATTATGGATGGAATGGCTGTACAACATAATATGGTGTATGCACCAAACTTGGCACAGTGCCCCATACTGTCGTGACGCCCATCGCCTGCAAGTACAAGGCCAGTACCAAGATCCTTCAGCTTTGCCAGTAGCCTGGTTTGATAATCTTTTCAGAAGAGGTGCACAGTAGGGAACAGATGACTCTGAAAAGTATGAAAAAATGAAACACCAGATATTTTCAGAACAAAGAGGGAATTGAGTTTACTAATATAAAAAAATTATTTAATATTTTTTATTACAGACCTGTCTAATGAACAGGTGCTCCGTTACAAATTGAGACAAAACTAATATTATTGCTGGTTTGCAGCTGACGTCATGGCGGCCATGCTGGATTACAAGAATAAAATTGTATCTCTTCCCTGGGAACTAAACTCTTTTTTCATGCAAATTCTGTAAAAAAAATTGTATTGTTTTGTCATCTAACATAGTAGCTTTGTCACATGGTTGCAAACCAAGAATAATGATTCTTTTTTGGTTTCAGCACATCACAACACAAGGTAAATGTTAATTTTAACTCACTCTTTGATGTTTGAAGAAGGTGTTCACTGATACACATGCCAAACCCATATGGTTGAAGATCTGTCTTATTTTTGTTATTGAACCACCAGCGAACAGGATGGACATGCAAAGAAGAAAATTCCGAGCAGGAAGTTTCGTGCCTGGCATATTTGGCTGGCTGTGCCATGTAGATTCTGCACAGCATCCTGGATTTGTGCAGACAGTGGTGATGACAGCTTTGGTGCCAATCTGTTGAGCTTCAACTTCTGGTGGATTCTTGCCCTTGCAAACATGGCACGACTGGAACAGCAACATCAGCTGTGATAGAAAGACGATGAATTTCGGCTCGGTCCTAAGGTTGCCATCTTTTGGTGATTTGACTCTGAAAGCAAATATAAAGGCTTAAGCTACAATCGTCAATAGCTGACCCTTGTATACAAGCTTGTTATACTCAATATCAAGGAATGGTGGTCAGGTATCACTTAGCAAAAAAATTATGTCTTCTAACCGGGTCGATTTAAAAACTTCGTCAACATCTGAATCCCCAACGTCGCCATCCTCCTCACTCTCACTGGCTGGTTCATAGTTGGATCCAGAAGTAAAATCAGGTTCTTCTTCAGTTGTTTCTGTATCGGTTTCCTCATCAGCGTATTGATCTTCTTCCTCTTCTAGATCCCCCTCTTCCTCTTCTTCCTCCTCCTGCTCTTCAGCACTCAATTTCCTTTCACTCTCTTCATTTTCATTCAGTTTCTTTGATAGTTGTTGTACTAAAAGTGGAAACAAATAAAACAGTTATCTTGGGTTAGTAGAGAAGCACTTTAGGTGAAAAAGATAGCAATGCATGCCACAAGATCTGAAAAAATGGCCTAAAAATACCAAGGCATGAAAATGTTCCACCCTGAAAAATACTTCAAAACATAAATAGACCCCAAAAATATGCCAGAAAAAACTCACTACTCACCACCTATTTGTTCTGAACATTAGTTTATTATAATTATGGTTACAATAGTACAGGTGCTCTGATTGACTGCTGCGCAGGCATTATGATGGTATAAGTCATGAATTACACTTGTCAAGTCTTATCTTACACTACCTTTTTTCTTGAGGTATTTATTTTTTGCAGTCTGTCTCTGGAGGGCCTGACGTGTAGTTGCAAGCTTCCCTTGCAGAACCTCTGTTTCTCGTAGTAGTTTGCTTTGTGTTGAGTCAGTTAGGGTTTGCACAGACTTATGTTGTACCTTTAAAAAATTAACATTAGCCATTTTGTCACACAAGATCTGAATACCAGTTGCCATGACTTGTGAAACTGAAGTTCTAAAGTAGATCTTTTAACTAAATGCATGTACGTGTAGTTCAATACTACATGTAAATCAGGGAGACCTCCAAAGGTTATAACATGCACCTGGATATAATTTTGTATTAGCTTGTTATCATTCGTTCCATGAATTTAGCTTGCATGTGGTTCCAGACTGTTGTCAGGACTACATGTTTACTGTCATGCCATTCATGGAACATGACTACCAACTTACATTTAGATCAGGAGTGGTTTCCTGACTTGTACTGGTCCCTGGTTCTGTGCAACTCACCTAAAAAAAAAACTTGTGTTAATAATTTATCTGGGCAAGATATGTATCACAGAGTGTATTTCACAGAGTCATTGGCAGAAAAAAGGGATACATGTACATCAACAACTGTGAGGAAAAACTTACATTTAGATCAAGAGTGGTGTCTTGACTTGTACTTGTCCCTGGTTCTGTGCAACTCACCTAAAAAATACCTGGTGTTAATAATTTGTCTGGGCAAAAAAAGAGTGTATTTCACACAGTCATTGGAAGAAAAAAGGGATACATGTACATCAACAACTGTGAGGAAAAACTTACATTTAGATCAAGAGTGGTGTCCTGACTTGTACTGGTCCCTGGTTCTGTGCAACTCACCTAAAAAAAAAAACTTGTGTTAATAATTTATCTGGGAAAGATCTGTATCACAGAGTGTATTTCACGGAGTCATTGGCAGAAAAAAGGGATACATGTACAGTCATCAACAACAGTAAAGAAAAACTTACATTTAGATCAAGAGTAGTGTCCTGCTTTGTACTGGTCTCTGATTCTGTGCAACTAACCTATAAAAGATACCTGGTGTTAATAATTTGTCTGGGCAAAATATGTATTAAAGTGTATTTCACACAGTCATTGGAAGAAAAAAGGGATACATGTACATTAACAACAATAAAGACAAACTTACATTTAGATCAAGAGTGGTGTCCTGATTTGTACTGGTCTCTGATTCTGTGCAACTCACCTATAAAAAATACCTGGTCTTAATAATTTGTCTGGGCATAATATGTATCAAAGTGTATTTCACACAGTCATTGGAAGAAAAAAGGGATACATGTACATCAACAACAGTGAAGAAAAACTTACATTTAGAACAAGAGTGGTGTCCTGACTTGTACTGGTCCCTGGTTCTGTGCAACTCACCTGTTAAAAATATCTGACGTTAATAATTTATCTGGGCAAAATATGTATCACCAGCTTACTGGCAGAAAAAGTCAAGAACAGCTTACACTCGCATCAAGAGTGGTGTCCTGATGACCAGTCGATAACTGTAACTCAGTGGCTGCGCACGACGAATCCAAATTGGACATCCTTTCTTTGGCCGATCTGACATTCTATAAAGGAAGAATACGTTGCTCATAATTTGATATAATACTTGTCTAAAACAGGGTGACAATAGCAGGTCCAATAGAAGATTACTTGCCATTCTCTTTTGTCGTTTTGTTGGGGAACCTTGACGCTCATTTTCAGTTGCTCTTTTTCCAACATGGATGGTTGGCCAAACGCAAACTCCAAATTCATCTTCCCTAAGGAGTCGTTTTAGATTAGACTGAAAAGGTCTTGTAAAGTCTTCGGGCTTGAAATGCACTGAGCATACGGTCGTGACTAGAATGGATACTCCAAAATCAGGTATCCGCTCGGAGACTGGAACTGAATAAAATTATTTTTCGGCAAATCGCTCCGACTCTTTACGACCTTGTTGTGAAGAAAGACTAAGTATACAAAGACTGAAGAAGGCTAAGATGAGAATGGTTACTACAAAATATGGATCAAAGCCTACATAGAGGTTAGTTGTTTTTCACGTTCTTTTTGTAAGAATTTAGTGCAAGGAGCAAACAATGTCTGTTTAATTACAGTGCCACTACCGCGACTGCCGTGTAAAGCTTATTCATAGCAAAGTATCTGTTTGGATAGCTCAGAATAAGGTGGATACTTCAGAATAAGAATGGCCAAAATATGGAAGTTTTGGCCATCTGGATTATTATTACTGAACTTCCCAATACAAACATGATTGTTACGTTTACAAAGAGGGTACAAATACAGTTAAGGTCAGTTAACCATCTTGTAATTTTATGGGTTAGTTGATTCCAAGTGTTAACAATAGTAAAAAAAACATAAGGGACCTGTCATTTATTAGAGGCGGGGGAGGGCTGGTGCAATTGGGGGGAGGGTCATTAAATTTTATGTAGCCAAAAAGGGGAGGGTCACCAAAAATTTAAGCTGGGCTTTGGGGAGGGCCATACCATTTTTAGCAAACATTGCTGTTCACTTAAAATAAAAATAAATCAACAAATAAAATATATTATTTAACAAACAAGTCCCTTGCACAGTAAGCATTTTAAACTTTCATAATGATCAACCTGAACTACCCAACAACCCTACATGTACGTCTTTTTCTTGATTTGTTTTTCAACAGCAACACACTGCAAAACATGTCATTGCATTGATCAAGTTTCTCATTAAGATATTTCAATTCACTGTTTACTCTTTTTTTAGCTTCATCAAGCCTTGTAATAACAGCTTCATCAAACAATTTAGAATACTCTTCTCCTCGTATAAAATTACCAGTCTTTGAGTGAAACAGGGTGTTAAGGTGAGCTTTAATGCGTCTATCCATATCTAATATGTTCTCTAGTAACTCACTGAGCTTCATAATGTTCGCCCTCAGTATTAACTAATCAGCTGGGACAAGAACATAATCGGTCGTGTAAAATTTTCCAGCAGCACCAGGATTATTCGTGCTCAATATTGCTTCAATGCATGAGGTGATCTTAGATACCTGTTCCTGAATGTCGTATTGGCGCCTCCCTTCATCACAAGTTAATTTAGCGTGGGGAGGGTCATAACTATTTTGGGCCATACAAGGGGGAGGGTTATATTTTTTTCTGCAGGAAATTGGGGGAGGGCATAAAAAAAAATCACTTGCGAAAAAAGAATTGCACCAGCCCTGCCCCCCCTCTAATAAGTGACAGGTCCCTAATTTACTTCAGGTCATACTTCTTGTAGCTTGGTGATCACTATTACAAGCGCAGGCAGACATATGCTCAAGTTACAAAAAAAAAATGGTCCTGCAGATTGTATTAGTGTAGTGTCTCTGTATAGCTCTGATATAGGACCTGGAGCCTACAGTGGCAGATCGGAACCTTCAGATAAGAAGAGGGGTTGGCTAGAGGGAGGGGAGGATTCTCACCAGACCTTAAGGTGGCAGGAAGGAACCACTCATTCAGACCTTAAGGTATGGAGGAGCTCAATCTAGAAAAGAATTTTCTTGGCAATGTTGTCCTCAATTTGATCTAGAAATATGGAGGGCCAGGGACCTCCCTAGATCTACTGCTGGCCTCTGCCAGCCGGCCCATATTCACCTGCTATCTTTTTACATTTACTAGAAACTCTAGTATCAATTCAAATTATTTATCCTAAATATTACGATTTTTGCAAAATTATTTATAGTTGCTTTTTTGCACTTGTATTTTGTTTTGTTTTTTTTTCAAATCCTAGGAGCCTCATTGTCACCAAAACTCTCTGCCTTCCATACCCTATTCCACACTGAACTTTCTGACAATAGTCCTCAGCCAAGTGGTACCATCATGGTGTTGAAAAGTGTGGAAATAGATCCTGTTGATCCTGGGATGAATTATTTTTCTTTTTCATCCCCCTTCCTCCACTCAAGGGGGGAGGGGTGTTTTCCTGCCCCTCCCTGTGACCTATTACCTATTTCCTTGATTGCCTTCTGAGCTCCTGATGAGACAAGACCTTCAGCATTAAGCTGGTTATGGGCTATTTTTTTGTTTTTCACTCAGTATGGTGAGCTTATCATAAATTTAAAATGGAATAAAAATGATCATGCAGGTATATGTTGCAGTTAATATTTTTATTTCAGGTAATTTTTGTTTTTCCTTTGTTTCAAAATCATTAGCAATAGCATACATTACCATACCCAAAAACAATGGAAAAATAAAAATTAACTGAGATAAAAAATTAACTACAACATATATCCATGTTGCAGCTGTAACAGGAGGAGGAGTTGGAGGTCCGGAGGGTGTTGCAGTCAAATGCTTGTGAGGAACAGAGAAACCAGTTGGAGAAAGAAATGAAGAAATGAAGAAAATTGGAGAAGGCTTCAAGAGAAATAGCAAATAAAATGAAAAAAAGAAAAGAAAACAGGAAAAAAAACAATTTTCATTGAGGCCAAGCAGTTGGCTGCTCAGTTGCATGTCTGGGTAGCTTGACCATTTGGTTAATAAAATTCTCAAAACCACAAACAAACCACTCTAAGAATTTGATAAAATGTGTACGAAAAATTATTTATTACTTTTATAAAAATAAAGTTGTTTGTTTACAATTCTACAACCATTTTTTCATTTCTTCCTTTTCTCATAATTCTTTCCTCTGTTTTACTTTCCTCTTACTCTTTCTCCACTTCCACAATGTGCGTTTATGTACCCTGGGGGTGGAAAGTCACCTGAAAAAAGATATTAGCCATGCATTAAATAAAGCTTCCATTATAATCATTCTTTCAGGAAATAAAGCTGCTACTTTGGCGGTAATTCTAAAAAGCACTGTGTTCCACGATACAGTGCCTTGATTCAGCAAAGAAGCCTTGACCCTTTTGTTTTAAAAGTGAAAGATTTTCTTTTGGTAGCAGAGAAAGGCCCCCAGTTCAGTGCATTACAAAAATTATCACCTACAAAGTTATCTATCATCTAAATTAAAAAGGAACAACCAAAGCATTTCCTTGTGGTACCTGCCTAATATCAAAATGAATAACCAAAATACTGATAAATAAATAATAATTATTGAAGTAGGGTATATCCACGCCATTTTAGCTTAACAAAACAAAAACACAAGGTAAGTCATTTTCATTTCTATTTTTGTCAAAAAATGGAATTTAGGACGTATTTTGTTTATTGTCATACATTCTCTTATAAATTCAAAGTCCAACAAACTCCTTCAGAGTTTGGGCTACCTGTGAATGGGGCAACATTTCATGACAGGATGGACAATAAAGGGGCTGCATTTTCAACACCTTCAATGTGACTGGAAATTACAAAGGTTCACACAGCAGATTCAGGAATACAAAATGACTAACTTGGAATAACATAGTTTACATTTGCCAAAAGTAGCTAACATTGGACCTTTTGGTCATAGAAAAGACTGTAAAAGGATTTGGGTTCTGGTTGGCTAATTGTGCCAGATACCCAGCGCACCAAAAGGTTGACCCGAGTATCCCACAGGTTGTGAGGGTCACTTTGGTTTTTACAATCTCATAAAGTACCCATTCTTCTCACACTAAACTAAACAGCAACTTACCACTTAAAAGTGAAAAAAAATCAACCATAATAAATTATATAAGAAAACAGAAACAGTTTATGTTGAGCCATAAATTCAACAACTGTCTGCTATCCCTGGGGGGGGGGGTACTCCCTTATATGGCCTCCATGGGGATGTGCCACTGGACAGGGTATGGTTTTTGTCCTCTCTGTGCTGAACAAGGGTATATAGTTTGGCACAAGTCTGTCCTAAACAGGGTATGCAATTTCCTGCAAGTCTGTCCTAAACACAACCTCGTCCCCAGGGCGCTTTTCCCTGGCTTTGGGGGCGGGGCGGGAAAAGGCCCTGGCATCGGCCGGTCGATCCGTCATTTTGATTGGTTGATTGATTTAGGTAATTTATGTAAGAAAATGACCAAATAAAAATAATTTATGCATTATACCGAAATCGAAATGGCGGAAAGTATTTCCACTCCAACGAAGATTTCTGCAAGAAATCCAGTTTGCAGGCTATGTGGTGGTTCCTATGAGAGTCGCTATATGCTACGGATATTCAGCAAGGCCGGTTCAACTAAAGATCTGTGTTCGAAGGTTAAAAAAACGTGTGGGATCAAAATTTCTGAGGACGATACGAGGTCAGCTAGGTCAACAGTGGTGTGTAGGACTTGCGTTGCGTTCGTAGAGAAAATGGATTAGTTCATTCAAAGGGCCCAATCTCTAGACAATACGCTGTCTGATCCAGTAAACACAGCCCCGCCCCCAAAGCCAGGGAAAAGCGCCCTGGGGACGAGGTTGTCCTAAACAGTGTGCATGATTTGTGCGAGTCTGTTCTAATTATAAACAGGGTATTTCATGCATGATCGATTTTGTCTTAGTGCAAATGTTTGCAGATATTTAGTACGTCATCACCCAAAGCATTTACTGGAATAAATATAAACGTTATTGTTCTTGGCACCCTTGTCTAAATAAGATAAGTACAAGTTGACAGGTGTGCTTGATAACCTTGTCCCCATCTGAGGGAGTTAACTGTCCTATCTGGGTACTAAAGTTGAGGGTGTTATCCTAAACAGGGTATGGGTTTCAAACCCTCAGCGGCTCACCTACACCCAAATATTGGTCGAGTACCCCCCTACACCGGGCTGCTATCCTATAAGCAAGCTTCGAATTAACTGAGCCATAATTACACAATGGTTGACTGTATTTGTACCCTCTTTGTAAAAGTAACAATCAGTTTTATATTGGGAAGTTCAGTAATAATAATCCAGATGGCCAAAACTTCCATATTTTGGCCATTCTTATTCTGAAGTATCCACCTTATTCTGAGGTATCCAAACAGATACTTTGCTTTACACGGCAGTCGCGGTAGTGGTACTGTAATTAAACAGACATTGTTTGCTCCTTGCACTAAATTCTTACAAAAAGAACGTGAAAAACAACTAACCTCTATGTAGGCTTTGATCCATATTTTGTAGTAACCATTCTCATCTTGGCCTTCTTCAGTCTTTGTATACTTAGTCTTTCAACACAACAAGGTCGTAAAGAGTCGGAGCGATTTGCCGAAAAATAATTTTATTCAGTTCCAGTCTCCGAGCGGATACCTGATTTTGGAGTATCCATTCTAGTCACGACCGCTCAGGTGGTCGGCATTAGATTCTACCCACCAAAACCACATCGATCGAGAGGGACTGAGATTAAATTTTGAATAACTTAAAAGTCGTAACCGAAGATTCTCGGAAAATGTACGGATGATATGCACGAACAACCGAACATCCGAATACTAGATCGGACGTTCTAACCACTGAACCATTAGGGCTCTAGCGTTAGTGAAGTCGGAATTCTACTATACCTGCAGAGTGTACTACACTTCTGTACTGGGAGCTGAAAGAAAGACAAAGGCTCGAGAAAGGCTGCGTTCATTTCACGTGGGGGTGCAGAAAATATATCATGGGATACAGTTTCATACATAATGACTGAGATGTTAGTAAGATGTTGGAAACGAGCAACGAGCGGCGAGAACGAATCGCGAAGCTCGCTGGTAAGTGCTCGTTCTTTCTCACGCGGAGAAAAATCAGGAACAACCTCTGGAACCAGGATATATAGCTAGGTGTAAATACCGCGAGCTTTATACTCCCCCCACCCCCTGCAAGAAGAAGTTTCTTTCCGGCATGGATTTTAGCATTCCAGTCTACATATATTGACCTCCAAAATTCTAAATTTCTGAGACTTATGAATGTACATAATACAGCTTTACTGCGCTTTTCACAAACATGCGAACTCTAAAGTTCAAAAGCCGCCTTCGCAATTGCGTTTTTCGCTGCCGTCAATCATAATTACGACCACAAGCAACGAACCTTGAAACACAGAAAAACACAAAACGGATCGAAATCCACCAATCACAAATCAGAAAACTTGACCTTTTGAACCCATTAAAGTAAAGTCTTGTTTCCTAAGAGGTCCGTTAAGATGATTGACGGCAGCGAAAAACGCAATCGTCAGTTGGCTTTTGAACTTCAGAAACATATCCAAAATTCGCAGCAATTTTCCTATCGAACGCGGGTTCGTAACTTAAAATTCCCGCCATGATGTTCCTGTTTGTTTCCCGGGACTGATGATGGGATTTGGAAGGTCGCGAGTTCGACTCTCGCCCGGGGCACGAAAATTTTCGTTGCCCCGGGCAAGCATGGTTTCTCCTTCTCCCAAGTGAAACTGTTCACTGGAAGTGTTAGTGTGCTGCTCACAAGTGCACATTAAAAAAATAATAAATAATAAGAAGAAAATAAAATAGTTTGTATGTGTAAATAATAACAACTTATATAAAAATCATGATTAAAATTTTGTTTGTGTCAATAATTATTATGCTTTATGAGTATGGTCTTAAAAAAGTCCGTCAGTACTTTGCAGAAGCGTAACTATGCGCCTAAAAAAATTAAAACCCTGAGTGGTTTTGGTGGATGTAGACTTCACCAAAACCACCGACAGTGTTCGGTGCTAGATCTGTATCACGTAGACCCATGAAATCTGAAACATATTTTAAAACTTCACGTACAATATTTGCCAAAATACAGTTATACTCGTTATATTCACCCTTTGTTGGCGAGAACTCGATCTCCCAAAGCAAACTAAAGCGAATCCCCGGGAGGCGAATACGTCAAAACATCGTAGGCATCTTTCGTTGGTGTAACATGTCACAAGGTGTCCAAAAGTCAATCTCAGTCCCTCTCGATCGATGTGGTTTTGGTGGGTAGAATCTAATGCCGACCACCCTGAGCATACACCGTATTCACAAATTCAGGGCGGAAAAACGTAACGAGCATGCGTGAACTTTTTTGCCCAGATCCCCTGGCCGGGTTTGAAAAAATGGCGGGATTTCAAATATTTTACTGCCTAAAAATAAGATGTTTCCACTCATAACCTGGAAAGAACAGGCAATTTGTCTTCAAAAGTTGCAAGCTGTGGTTATAACCTTGTCGTTACTTAATTTTCTCGACGAATACCTCATAGTAAAACGGACTTTAACGACATCAATTTCCTTGCGTTGTACTGGAAATGTGCATGCGTAGGTCCGATTTTTTTCAAGATGCATTCACAAAATGTGTTCATATAAGCAAGTTCCTGGATATATAAGGTCCGGAGCTCCACTGTGGACACAAAAACAACATATCTTTGGACAGTGATTTGCCCAAAAAAATTAACGCTTGCCCACAATGTGTTTGAAGGCACTGAACTTGTCGCACTCGAGCTGATATTTTAAAACCCTCGCTCGATCGGACACTCGTAGTTTCGCAGATAACTAAAATATAAACAAAATCCTCAATGTACAAGTTATTGCGTTGTTATGCGGGCAGAAAAAAGGTCAATCTTTATCTCGTAAAATCTTCCCAAAAATCGGTTTTAAAGCAACTATAGTTTATTTTTAAACTTGATCGTTTCGCGTACTAAGAGATAAATATAAATTATGCTTGTGTTGTCAAGTTGAAAATGCATAACATCTGTCAAAAACCTACACGTAAGTAGGATTTCCTTCAAACAAAGTTAAAATTACATTATTGCAAAAACGTCTTTCTGACAATGAAGAAATGAATTTTTTGTACGAAAACAACCTACCTAAAGATCTTAAAAGCAAACGATCAGTTGCAGTGAGCTATCGCATTTAAACCATGATTCACCATGTAGCTCTTCTCCTCGCTTTAATAACTCAGCGAATAACTGGTCCGTGTGAGGGTCTTCATTGAAGCAAATTAAACTCAGCCAATCGTTACAAAATTCAGAAAACTGCACATAAGGGTATTTGTTTTGCTCGCTTCAGACAAATCCAGCTCCAGCAATTCAGTGTTACGGGCAGAGTCAATTGTTTTGAAGTCACTGCCGGCAGTTGTCCTCTATTTCACAGCGAGTGAAATGGGAAATTTGCGTACAGAAAGTTATTTCTTATAAAGAACAGAAACTTTCACAGTGCAGTGGAAAACAAAACTATGTAATTAAAAGTGAAGAAAACTCTGACTACTTATAGTATTTGAGCAACAGAAAAATGATTCTTTTCTTCTAGAGTAAGTTTACTGGCCTTCAACCGGTATTTCCGAGAAAGTTTTAGGGCGCACAAAATGGTTCTTTGACTGAAGAGAAGGGTAAAGCAAAGGGAATAAATCTGGGCATGTGAAAAAGTATTTACTAATTTAAAAAAAAAGTGGGTTTTAATTCAGCCCGGCGAAAGAAGGCGAAATCAACTCACAAATAAATCGAATGATCAATCAAAAAAATACTCGCCTCTTTGGAAATGTTCAAAACTCTTTATTCCACCTCAGACTGACGGAATGATCCGTTTTTCCTTTAACATTGGTTGCTCCGAGTCCAAAGTAATTTTCAAGTGACGAAAAACAAAAACCACACAAAAGTAAAAAGGCTTTTCGAGGAGCAAACGTTCACACCTTGTGCATTTCATTTAGTCTTAGTCAGAACTCTCTCAGTGACCAGTGACAAACAAACAAACGGTCGAACACAGTCATCACACAGAAAAGCCCGCCTTGAGCCTGCGATAAAGGATGCGCAGAAGCTTGCGCAGAACGTTTTTCCGCCCTGAAATTCACAAATGGCGGACAGGCGGGAAAAAACTGGTGCCTAGTCATGAAAGCGAGGCGTTGGAGGGTAAACAAAAATTGCAAATTGAGACTTTCAGTGAACTTGCAGAGTGTTTAGCACGGATTCCACCTAAAATAACTTTGTATGGACGTCTTTTTAAATACAATGACGTGGGACGTCTTCTGCTTTTAATGTTTAGTACTGATTTGCTGTTTGCAATCAAAAGGGACGCGTATATCTTCAGGGAAACAGGATGATTTTGTAGGTTGCCGAAGCCTCAGAAGCTCGACAAGTGGGTGATGGCTGGAGAAAAGCGGCAAACATGTTGGCCCAAACTTCACGCTGAAACCGAATACGAAAGCCAGCTCACTGCAATTCTGTAAAACAGAAGTAAAAACAGATGGTGGCAAGAAAAAAAAAAGAGATAAGCGACGGATATATGGCCTACTTGTCAACGGAAGAGACCTCCGCCATTACTAGAGGTCAAGTCGAGAGCGGGTGAAAGATTCATTCACGAGACTCATTCATTCATGTCAGTGTCATTTTACACATATCTATGTATGTCTGTATTTACAGCTTCCTTTGGATGATATTAATTCCGTCGCTTTGGAGTGAATTGTTAGAGGTACGTTGGTAGAGCTTAGCAAATTCAGTGCAAATTTAAAATCTTTTGATTTCTTTGTCATTGCGAAATAAAATAATTTTATCAAAACTAGAAGCTCTAGTATGTGAATCTTATGGCTTGCTATTTGCCTGGTCTCCTTTACGGCATTATCTCGGAGAGCTCTTGGTAAAAAAGTGGTATAAAGCTCACATTTTACTAGATTAAACTTTTAAGGCAATGTTTGTGTCAGGACTGAACACGGCAAGCTTCTGTTTCGAATCATTAACTGCGAGTCTAGATCCGTTTAAGAAGACCATCATTTTATTTATTTATGTATTCTTCACTTTTAAAATATCACGGAACATGAAGTTAAAACTCTTAACAGCCAAAGATAAGAAATAGGAAAATTACTCGCTGAAATGAAATGTGGCCGGCTTACCGAGTCTGCCGAGTAACAAGTTGAAATTTTGAGCGTACTCCACTCGATCGCTCCTGCATTTATACCAAAAAGATAGTTCTAATTGATGTCCGTCATCGATAAAAACCAGAGAATAACGTCCTGGCAAACAAAAACCAAACATAACTTCATCGAAACCTCAGTCACCGCTTCTTTCCTGTCTTCCTTTTTTCCATCTCGATTTGAACTGTTTTGTTCAATGGCACACGTCTCTTGCGTTAACAAGTAGGCCATATATCCATCGCTTATTTCTTTTTTTCTTGCCACCAAGATTTGCATTGTTTATATTTTTGTTTTACCGAATTGCAGTGAGCTGGCTTTCGAACTCGGTTTCAAGGTGAAGTTTGGGCCAACATGTTTGCCGCTTTTCTCCAGCCATCGCCGACTTGTCGAGCTTCTGATGCTTCGGAAACCTACAAAATCATGCTGTTTCCTTGAAGATATACGCGTCCCTTTTGATTGCAAACAGCAAATCAATACTAAACATGAAAAGCTGAAGACATCCCACGTAATTGTATTTAAAAAGAAGTCCGTACAAAGTTATTTTAGGTGGAATCCGTGCTAAACACTCTGCAAGTTCACTGAAAGTCTTCATTTGCAATTTTTGTTTACCCTCCAACGCCTCGCTTTCATGACTAGGCACCAGTTTTTTCCCGCGTGTCCGCCATTTGTGAATACGGTGTATATGGAAGAAGTCTTTCCCGGGGTCCAGTGTTTGCGCGTCTCATTCACGAACTTTATCCATCGTTGTCTTCTTCGGCGGACTTCAGGCCTCGGATCGTTATCAGAAGGAATCTTATGCATGCTGATTCCTTTCTCTACATTTCGAGAGTTGCTGCATCCAAAAACCACACATTTTTCAACCAT